TGTGCAGATGGAGGAAAACAAAGAATGCAGGCTAAGAAATTTTGTGCTTTTTTAAAAGAAATGATACGTTGGTAGGAAATTTCAGCTATTATTACTGAGTCTAAAATTTTATATTTCATGACGGAAACTAAAACAGGAGAAAAACTGATAATAATTTTTTGAAATAAAGTAAAACTTAAGAGTGCTCAAGTACAAAGGAATTTTTTCCAGCTAAAATTTCTCGGACTGAAAATTAATTGGTCATTCATTTTTGTTCTTTGATAACTGATACGATATCAGTTTTCCCATTGTTTTAAAAACACGAAAGCAAAGCACATGATTCGAAACCATGCCAGTGGAATGTCATTCACATTTTGCTGTTTTGATCAAAAAGGTTCTTACTCTGTGGTGAGCTTTCATTTTATTTCTTATTACACCATCATTGTTATTGACATTCAGTGGTCTTCGTAAATTATCGAAGAATTTTTCGCTGACACTACCCTCAGAACGACGTAATTGTAACTGCTGCTTCTGCTTCTGTTGCAACATTTGCTTGTATCGTCGTCGTTGTCGTTCTGAATGTCTCAAACGATTGTACGCAGAAAGCCCTGAATTTTTATAAAATTTTACTTATATTTCAGAAAATTAAAGAGCTCATTTTCAACACTCATTTACCTGCCACAAAGAAAGGTAAGAATGAAAAATTGCATTGATATCATTGAAAAAGAATGCAGTTCAAATCTAAACTGAAGAATTATTAGCATACTTCAGTATTGATAACCAAATGAGACATCAGCTATTGTTTTGATGTGATGACGAAGAGATTGTTCTAACAACGAGTTGATTGATTTTAAAACTTTTTATCCCTCATGTTTGAGAATAGTATTCGAGAGTTGTCCGCATCCATATCATCGAGCATACGCTCATCTGTTTCTCTTAAATCAAGAGACAATTAAGTAGTAACATACATACCGTGGTAGTCATAGGAAGTGCCCGCTTTCTGTTCATCGTTGACAATAACAGGTGATGGTATATTGATATTAGTAACAGCTGTACCAGAATTAGTATCAGCAGTATGTGAAATACAATAATGATTATTGATAATAACAAGAAGCGAAGTCATTATCGCTGCTAGCCAGGTGCCAGTTTGCATAAATGTACGTGATGGAGGACATATATCTCAGAGTTTGTATCTTTAGCTTTATAAATTTCTTATTTCTCCAAGCTCCAAGTAATTAACTTGATATCTTCTATTTCCCCTATCTCTTTTACCTTTCTCTTTTCACTGAACTGTCGTTTTGGTCACCACTGTTAATAAAATCAGTGGCACAACATAAATAGTTATCTTTCTCTTTTCTCGTTACAAAAGAAGAAAGTATTTTGAAGTGCACTCTGAAGCTGACAGTAAGCAAATATTACTACACCAATACAGCCTGAAAATACAACTTTTTATCTTTCGGAATATTTGAAAAGAAAGAATAGGAAGAATAGGCTGGTCAAGGAAACGATGGAATACACAACGTCATTGTTGATTTAAAAAAAAAAAAAAAAGTGGAAAGATTGCTTTACAGATTACAAGGAAACGTGAGGGAAAGACGTAAGAAAAGTAGAATGAAATACATATCAATATATCAGAGTTTGAACTACCAAACGTCCTGAAACTTGTAGTATTATCGTCAATGAGTTAAATACACAAAGTAACATTACTCAATGCCCATTGTTACTTAGGTCTTCAAGCATAAGACTGCAATTTTGCCTCTCCTTGATAACGAAGCAAAATTCTATGAAAAGAGTTGCTTGATTGATTTGAAAAGCAAAGTTTGCTACATTATCGATATCATGATCACTAAAATCGGATGAAAAGCAATGGTTGAAAACAGAAATGGAAGATGATCACTAATAAAAAACAAATGAAAGGCAAATGCGTGTCATGACAGAGAAAGTAACAGAGTAAAAAATAATTTACAGCCTTGTAAAAAACAAAACTGTCAGTCAAATTGGTGATCATCATGTGAACTAATGGGAAACTTGGTAAGGCGTTAATGAAGATTGTTGTAATTAAATGAAATATTTAGTAAAAAAAGAAACGTTTTTGAAAGTGCCAGAACAATGTGAAGAAATATGATAAAAATCTCTAAATTTTTTTAATAGAATGGGAAGGTTTGCCTCACTTATCACTGTCTTCGATACTGATCACATCACATTCATATGAGAAAGCGTGTCGCCTTCTTTGTCCATTACAAGTATATGTCGATAACATCGAATGCTGCTAATGAGAAGCAAAACGATTATTCAACAGTTAGTCAGTCATCCAAGAAGATGGTAATGGAAATAAAGATTGAGAAGCGGAAATAGATGGCGAAAGAAATTAGTCATGCCAGGTCTTATTGTACGCAGAGAGCAATGCACTGAAAATTTAAGTCTAATTCTGGACGTTTAAAAGGTCTCAAAACTGCATAGAGAAATGACCTAGAATTCAATTGTTAAAACTATGATCCTAGCACAGTGCTTTTGAGATTGGAAAAATTAAAATATGCATCAATTAAAAGCGAAAACAAAAAACAAGCTTAAAAAGCGCAAATATTCTTTAACACAGGATATGCAATGTAAAATAATTGAAAATAATTTATGGACATATTCTTCCTCTCTTGAAATCAACTGAAATGATTCGTAAACAGTAATAAGATGAACCATCAAAAAATGTTTGAAACGTGAATTTTTAGAATCATTTTTAAAAAATAGCTTAGCCAAGGTTGGAAATTAGTTTTTTTTTTTCTCTCATTTATTTTCATATTGTCAATTTAGATTAACTAAACAATCAATAAGGTTTCATTAAAAAAAAAAGATTTAATCCAAAAATTGAGCTTCTTTTCATTAAAGAAATTATTGCTTTCTATTGTTTAAAATAAGAGGAGAACTTCTTGAAAGAACTGCAGTAAAAGTACTGCCATTATACTTTCCTGGAATAATTTTTTGAAATTTTTTCATCATTAAAGAAAAAACTGAGAAAAGCGAGAAAAATTCAAAGGAGTGTGCTGCTAAAGTAACGCAAAAATAATATAAAAATATAAAATAATTCATATTTCAATTAAAAATAGCATAAGTTAAATATTGAAGTTTTGCTAAATTTTTGCAACCTTATAATAATTCTGAGTTTCAGTAATTGTTCATCTATAAAAAATTTTTCCTATTTTTAGGGAATTCAGCCAACTCTGTTTTTGATCTAATTCAGGTTAACAGTAAAACCCAAGAATCTTCAGGCTGATTGATCATTAACAAAAATGGCAACAATTCGATGATAGTTACGGTGGTTAGAAATTACTAGTGACGATGATTATGATGATAATGATAATAATGGTGTCATAATTATGATTACTATAGGAGTGATAATAAAAGTAATATTAGGGTATTCATTAGTGCAGGGACGATAAAGATGGCAGTAAATGATTAGGCAATATATATTTTTTGATATAAATTTTATAAAAAATTAGTCTTCAAAGCGACGCCAATGATGACACTTCAAATTGAAATATGGATGGAATTCCAAAATTCTTTTTTACTGATATTTTTCAGTTTGAAATTTCTATTTTATTTAAAAAAATGAGATGCTTATAAAATTAATTTCTTCTCATCAACAAATTTTAAATTTCATTTGAAAGAAATATGAAAAAGAGAAGAAACAAAGATTGCATTTATTCTAAAAAGATATAAAGGTTATGGTCTATTTCAAACTGTAATGCAGTCATCCTATCCTTCTTAGTCCATTTTTCATATTAGTGACACTGGCAGCTCATTTATTGTGGCACAGTAGCATTTCCAATAGTGAACTGCAATATTATGAAGATCATGAATAATAATAGAAAGATTAGTGATAAAATCAGAATTTGTATCCTCTCCTTTACGATTTTCTAAAGCCTTGAAGTAATGATTAAAATAAATAAATGTCATCTTAGTAGGATGTAATATATAATCAAGTGAAATGCATTTGGTTCGCATTAATAATTCTCGATGGAAGATCCGAGCCTATTTTGAAATGGAGCCTTTCTTCTTCTCCTACTACATTTTTTCACATGTTGAATTATCAGAATTATCAGTCGGTAGTTTGAATTAATCTGACAATTTTACGATAGAACAGATGCAAACAAAAAGTGCAATTTTTTATAAAATTATGCAAAAATGTGTTGTCTGATCGATGTGAGAACTTTAAGTTTTCAAGTTACAAAGAAATGAAATTATCTAATATTTTGAAGAAATGAAAGTCATAAGCAAGATTGTTTGTAATATGTAGTTAAAGCAGATAATCTTATTGCCACTAGTAAATAAATGAGTTCATATTATTTTTATTTTCATAATTTTTTCTATTTCTTGATGAGCAGTCGGATGAAAGAACTGAAAGCGTTATTCATTTACGGTATAACAAGATGCAGCAGTTAGTAATAGTAATGTAGATATTTAAATTGATTCTTTTTGTACTTTATAAAAGCTTTTTCATTGCTCATAAAAAGAAGTAGAAAATTTTTGAAACTGACAATAGAAAAGGTGTTTCAAATTTCATTATTGAACACAAACTCTTCAAAGAACTAATAATCAGTCAATCACGGTTATCTTTAGAATTCTACTTCGAGCAAAAATCTAATAAATCTCATATCCTTTAACGAAAAGTTTGCAAATCTAATATTACTTTTAAATAATTTTAGAATTAGCTCATTACAATTGAAAATGAGGTAATGTGAGCGCATATATGGCCACAGCCACATGTTGCTTGTGTGATCGTTTGGAAGATTGCATCATTGGTAATTTCCAGAAGAGGAAAAGCTTGCTATACAGGATATAAGAAAACATTCAAAGCACGGTCATAAGATGACTGTCATAAAGTGTAAGCATAATGGATGAAGAATGGATGTAGTGATTTCAGGAGAAAATGCTTAAGCAAGTGATTCGGGAATGTTAACTACTAACTGAGTTTCTCGAATGGTAGGATAGTATCTCGCTATTGAAAGCATAAATCAAATGTTCAAGTTATGGAAAAGTTTCAAAGAAATAGTATAGAAAAATTAATCATCAGCAAGCAGATTGGTGACAGTATTGCTTTTATTTTCTATGCAATTCTACGATCACCTCACAACAACAATGCAAGGCATACAATTTGCATGGTATCATATGAAATAAAGGTATTTGCCAAAATATTTTACTACCAGTATCAATGACACCACATGATTTGATGTAGAACGACTAATTTTGCATATAACATATACACCTTTAATTAAAATGCAAATACTGATAGCGGCTTATTTTGCACGATAATGGATACCTTCTTTATTTTAAATGAATGATGATTAATAACACAGAGTATTCATCGCATTATTATTCATCGCATTATTACAGAAATTATGTTGGGCAGAAGTTCATGACAATTTTGGCAATAGGTGATATATTTTTTGGTTCTTTTTATGCAATATTTTGTAGAAGACGAAACTGGCCAAGAAAAAGGTTCATTTCCTAATTTGGTCCTCGATAAATATCTTTTTTTTATTCATATTCAATTCCAAAGCAGTCACATTTCTCAATTTTTTTTGAATAGTTGAGTTAAATCAAAAGAGAAGAAAGAACAGTTTAGGTTCTATATTTTCGAGAAAAAAGTATTGGTGCTTATCAAGTAGGCAACCTTATTGTTGTTGAGATTTGTGATTTATTTAGATTATTACCTTTACATACAATACATGCTGTTGTCGCGATGAATACTATGCAGAGATGTTGGAAGAGGAAGAGTGATTTGGTATTTAGGAGAAGGGCAAATCAAATTGCATGTATAAAATGTTTTGAGAGATTTGCAATGAGAGAAAAGAGAAGGAAAGTTACATGACTTCGTCTAAGGAAGCAAAATATTTAGCATATTGCAAATTGTAAATCAACTGACGACATTTATTGCTTGGCTTTTGGAATTTGGAAGTGAGGTACGAGAAAGAATGGAAAGAGCGGGAAGAAATGGGAACGAGAAAGATTCTTTTACATCACCATTCCAAGACATTGGACAGAGAGAAACTTTGAAAAGAACCGAAAGTGTTGAGAGAAGCTTTGCGCATGTCTTGAAATAAGCATAAAAGGATGAATCGAAACAGAAAGCAAAAAACTGTGAACATAAAAACAGAGAAGCCAGGAAATCCTTACGATTACCTAACTTGCCCAACACTAATTTTCTATAATTTTATCTTGATTATACTTTTATTATACTTTTCGTATTCGAAAAATTTGTTTAAGTTTATTCGTTAGATTTTGGAAAACTTTAAAATTCAATCACCTTATAAATGAAGTGAAAGGATATAAAAAAATAAGACGAAGAAATATAATAGATTCTTCTCAAGAGATGGGATTTTTGTCCAGCATAAGAGCGAAACAGTGAAACTATACCAAAATATTAGGCCTACAGCGTGTAACATTACTGTTGCCTCGAGAATTTCATTTCAATCAAAACTAACGTTAGTTAGCGATCCGATAATTCAATGGTGCGATGTAAATAAAAGGTCGAAAATTTTTTAAAAAGAATTATGAAAAAATTGGGTTTTAAAAATTTTGACAAATTCTAAACATGTGAAAAATAAATGATTAAATTGTCTCCCTCAACCAAAAGTTCAATTTCGATTCGTTTTTTTACTTCAGTAATGTAATAAAAAATCACTTTCCAAATAAATTGAAAAACATAGTTTTACTTCCTAGTTATTTTAACCAAGTAGTAGTGGAAAAGTAGGGGAAAAGAAAAACTAGTAGAGAAATATTTCGTGAAAAAATTTCGTCTCAAATCGTTTATTTTACAACATTTAAGTAATACGTATATCATCAATCTGAACAACCAATTTCCCTTTAACTTTTAGTTTTCCTTTGATTTGTCATTGAAACTCGTGTTGTAATAAGAACTGTGGTTTAAATTAACTATAGGAATTTCATTGGCAAGAAAGCTAATGATGAAATTAATTTAAGAAGTCGTAAGATGAAGAGTAGCAGAAGTCAGAAGCTAACTTTTGACATCTTACTATCCTCATGCTATTTACAAAAATATTCCCAAGAATAATTGGTCTTACGCAAACTTCGCGTACGCTTTCTCTGACATTTATTACGGTTTATGCATTGTAAGAACGATAATCAATTTGTTGACGCCTTCTTTCTTGTATAATTAAACCATCATAAAATCGAAAAATGTTCAATGGAAGCAAATTCATCGCCAATGGCTGTATCAACTTGGATAAACGAGCGAGTGATGTTGTTGGTCTTAAAAGTATCACGAATTGTTGTTGGTACTTACCTAGCAGAACAGGATCTGATAAAGGCTGGTTTGAAAGCTGGAGAAAAGGTAGAAGAAGAAGGGGAAGAAGAAGAAGAAACAGGTCCAAATTAGGTTTAATGGAATATAAACGCATTTTGAATCTCATCATTGTCGTCATCATCTATCCCGTATTGTTTATGAACTAACTTTTGCATTCATCAGACTCAGTGCGTCATTGTCACTAATAATCGCGGTCATTATCCTTATTATCATCACTTCAATCCAATACCACTGCCATTTATCATTATTACGGTTCTAAATATTGTTTTGAGGGTGTTGCTTCTTCCATTTGATAGTCACTATCGTTCATATATTATCATTAATATGTTATCACTACTTTATGATGTATGGCTATATACTATTTATGAACAGTTATTATTTTAAACAAAGATGTTTAATTTATAATCGAAAATTACGACTGAAAAGACTGAGAACCTATTTTGGGAAGATCTTTTACGAGAAGACGAAAGAGATGATATGAAAGGTTGACGATGAAGTTTAAAACGGGGCAAAACTGGCTACCTTTGAAAACTGTTGTTGTCAGGTAAGAGAGGTATGCTGTCTCAACGTGAAACCCCACCTTTTCCCTCTCCTCTTATCCTTCTTCTCTTACCCGACGCAGCCGACAGCATTTGCGATGTACCCGTTACTTATCAGCAATGATTCTGAGCAAAACGAGAAAAACGAATCAAAACTGTCTCTGCCCTCCTTGCAACCTGCTACTATGATAAGACAGGAAGAAGAAATAATTGTAATTGGAAGTGGTGACGCGGGTATTAATTGCTGCGACTGATTCCATCATGCTGCATTCCTCTTCACACTGCTAGTTCACTAGTATTGAACAATCTCTACCAAGTACAAATTTCAGTTACTGATTTAATAACAGATGATTTCTTGATACATGAAGAAATATGATGATCAGTTTGACACTTGTACCTCATAATAAAAACCAAGAATAATTAAAGAAAACAAAATTTTTTTATTAATGCTGGAAATAACTCAATTATTCAGCACTAATTTGATTATTTTTCCAATTTGATAATTTGATGGTAACTAAAAGAGCTTACAAGCATATTATCGTTCTTCTCCTATCATTAAAGTTTATCGGTATAAGAATTAGATGGCTGTATCATATTAAACAAATTAGGGAACAGATAAAACGGGAGAACTTAATAAGTTTTCATTGTCAAAAATTAGTTGACATGATTGCAGTTCTCTGTTTGACGCATGACTATAATGCTTGATCAAGTTAAGCGATTGATTTTGGTTGCATCACTATAATTAGTATATAGACTCATCAATTATCGACCTCCAACCCGATTTCTTTCTATTTTTAAGTCCTTGCATTTGATTATCTTATATTAATAACGGTACATTACACAATGTGCAGTGTTCTCGTTAGTGTACATTTGCCGTGCCATTTTTAAGATTCTGAGTGCTGTTTTGTAAATGACAAATTATAATTTTTGTGGATTATTGAACAAATTATTTATTATAGCCGACTTTTTTTCTCTTTTTTTTCCAAAAGAAAATTTAACAAAAAGTAATTTAGCTAGTCTTGGTTGGGCAATGAGAGTAAAATAATAATAATAATTGGATAGGAACAAAATAATAGCCAGTTATTAGTAGTATTAAGAAAAATGTTTTATAAGTTTAATTTGAAGTGATAAATAACTAAGTTGAACACAGTATGCTAATATAAAACCATTCTCATGGCATTCAGGATATTAACTTGTGCAATGAATACTGTCAATATTGGAAATAAATGCTTTCTTCTATCATCAATATTAATTTCAATTTTTCTATCTCGCTATTTTAAAAAAAAAAGATGAGTTTATAGGTTTGAAATGTTTTGGTTCAGATACTAGTGAAACTTGCTCCTAGTTGGAAAATTTTCATCGTCAGTAATGAAAAGAATGAATTTTTATGACCCCATATCTTATTTTCATCCATGTGGACTTCTCTGCTTGTGCATATAACTAGTTTCTTTTAAATAATTTATTAAGAAACACATTTATAGAAGAAAATAAGCAAGAAAAAAAGATTGATGTGTACCAAATACCAAAATAAAGTGGGAAGTGTTTGTTGTTGTCTTCAATTATAATACAATTTGCCTCAAATGAGAGTTTTTACTTCTTTACTGAAGAATATGAAGCTTGTTATTTTAGTTAAATGCATTTTCAAGACAATTTGCTTGAAAGGTTATAGATGTCTACTTCACTTATCGAGAGCCAATTAATAAAATAACTTACTTAACTATAACGTATAATACTTTTTTAAGCAGCTCTTTCTAAAAGTTAGACATGTGAGCAAAACAGGACATAATATCAGGATGAAAAATTTCATGTGATGGCATTTTCTAATACTTGTTTCTTTTCAAGTCATTTTGGCATGTGAAAATTCCTTCAGAATAATATTTTTGTAAAAAGAATTTGTTGGGATAAGTCGCTATTGTTGAAAATTCTTATCAACTTAAAACTTACATAAAAGACTAAAAGACCGAAGCTTTTTTAATCTATGAAATGTGATAGAACAGTTATTTTTATTGTAATTCTTATCAACTTAAAATAAATTCGTATGTTGTTTTGTTGGTTTGCAAATTCATGAGAAATTCTATCGTAACAATTAGCGAAAAAGGACAAGTAAGTAGATTACATGGCAAACTGGAATTTCAATAAAATATAACATTTTGCAAAAGAAATTTGGCAATAAATTCAATGTGGTTGTGGAGCAATATTTTGTACAAATGAAGATAATCGACTTATGTTGCAAAAAATACACTGAAATTAATTATAAATTCATTTGACAGTAATTAAGTAATGGGATGAATGCTTCCAAAAATGTTTTGAACCTCTTTCACTTTCATATAAATAAATAATCCAAAAAGTAGTGAAATAACTTAAGTGCGACAAAACTGAGAAAGATGCAATAACGAAGTTAAAAACTAAGACGAAAACATGTAATGCAGTTAGAGAGGTTGCATGAAAAATAAAGAGGAGGGATTAGAGATGATTTCAATAGGATTATTAGTAATTAGGGAAAAATTATAATGAAATTGTATGATAATTACGAGACTATAATTACTAGAAATTGGAAATTATTCTAAATTTTTACAAGAATATATAAGACTCATATTATAGGTAACGGAAAAAAATCAGGCAAATCGTCACTGTTACAAAAAATGATTTGTGAATCATCTATAGACCTTCAAAAGTGGCCATCAAAATCCACGTTCTTTAACAAGTATGCAAAATTCGTCATTGTATTAAAAATTAAATGTGGAAAAGATATCATTTTAGACCTTCGAATAATATTTTGACGCAGGAACATAACTGTCGAATAATTTGATTTATGATACGTCATGTGAATGATTTTGTGCCACTTTTAAAATTGTCAATTTAATGCAAATTCTTGATCATTCGATTCCTGAGCAAATTTTTTGTCAGAAGATTTTAAGTGGAAAATTCCAAAGTTAAGTTTCAACTTAAAATTAGTTTTTCGTCACATGACATATTGATTACTTAATGTATTCAAATATTGCTTTAGTAGAACTGTGAGAGTCATAAAAAGCTGTCAGATCAGACATTAAGAAGTATTCAAATGTTCATTTTGATATATGACACGATCTCCCACTCATTTCAATCATTCTCGTCTTCTCATCCTCATTCTTAGCTACTGATAATCTCTTGCTATACTATCGTATTGCAATATATTTTTCGCCTTTTCATTTTAATTTCCTTATCTTCGATAGTAAATAGCTTATATTTTCATACTAATTATACAATTGTGTAAATTATCGTATTGCATTCTTAAGAGGAAGCTAAATGAGTTCGTGAAGATAGTTTTATATTTACTTATTGTATGCATCCAAGACTTGAAATAAACATTTGACTTTGATAAATAGGAAAAAGAAGTGTTTTTTTTTTTTTTTTGAAGTTAGTGAGTGCTGAAAATAAATTTAGCTTTGGTAGGTATAAAATAAAATTTAGTGGCATTATTTGATCTTATATTTTGGAGCACAATACCTTCTATCTCTTTCTTTTTCTCTTTTTCTCCCTCTCTCTCTATCTGTTTATCTTATATAAAGATTGTAAATGATCATGATCAACTATCTGAATTTACTGTAAGTGAATTTAGTTTAGTGCTAATTAATCATTCGTAAGCCTATTTATTTAACAGTGAAAAGATTACATATTATGAAAAATAGGAGAAAGAAACTGAACAAGAGAAACTATTTAGAAATAATAGATAATTAAATAGAAAATAAATAGAAAAAAGAGCTTTAATTATTGAAAATAATTAAAGTTGCTCAATAATAAATTCGGATACAGAATAACATCGAAACATCAAAGAAAAGATTAGGCAGAAAGGAAGAAGGAGGGAGAGGCTATTATTACTATCACTATATGAAGTTGCATGCATCATCACTTTGAAGAGGATTTCGTTATCTTATTACTTGAACATAATTCTAAGTTAAAGTTTAAATGAATAATGACTTTCTTATTCCATCAAATGCAGTTGGATTATCAATGTTATTGTTATTTTCACTGTCACCATCACTGCAATTTCTAATACCACTGCGACAAACACAAAAACGGGTGAATGTGGTAGTAGTGTCTACACTGCCTTTCTTCAAGAAAACTTCGCCCGTTAGAACTGGGTGATAGTCTATTCCTCTTTCTGTATAATCGGATAATTCGGGTATCATTTCATAAATCAAAGTAGTTGAAGGATATATTTTTCAAAATTTCATCTTTTTTAACACCACATATTTATCTTCTGGGAGACCTGATAAGAAAGCTGATTAACATAGAGATGGGGAGGAAAGATCTTAGTTCGAGAGGAAAAAATTACCAGAACTAACAAATACACCGTGAATAAATGTCACAGTGATTGATTGTTCGGAAAAAATTTTTTTCGAAGAATAAATTGTACGTCTACTTTGTTTCTGAAGGAATAAACAATCAATACCGATGATTTTAGCAATTCTGAATAGAAATTTTAGTTAAATGAAATATAAACCCTTTTATTATTTCCTAAACAATGCTAATTTTTTTAAAAACAATGCTAATTTCTATCAATTTAATTTTTAATTTTTCAGTAATTGAAGTCAATTTACTAGTAGGGTAAAACAAAATTTTCTGGAGAAATACTTCTGATGTGCCCAAACCTTACTTTTAGCTAGTGCAAGCTGCAACATAAAATGCATATACCGGTTTAGAACCAAATTACTGATGCAAAAATTTACTGATTCACTTAACAAAATTTGCAATGAATCATTAAAAGTTCAGAAAGACTACATCAAAATTTAAAAAGTTCTTTTATTTGGTTGAAATTATAATTGTAAACTATCTTCCTAAGAAATACTGATTGCGTTTTTTGCATTTGTGTATCATTCTTAAACAATTATAAATTGAAAAGAGAATGATCATTGTCTATTGAAGTTGCTCAGATTAATCAGTCAAATCATTCATGAAATTCTTAGCAGAAGCAATTTTAAATCCTCAATTTAACTCATTTTAATTCCATAGACTAAATTTAGTTCACCCAAAGGGATTTAAATATATAAATAAATGAATAAATAAAATATACACAATAAATGATAGTGAGTGCTTCAAATAAAAAAGATCGATTATATATCAAAAAATGGATTTTAATAAGAAAATGTTTCTTTTTTTTTCAAATTTAAATCTGCTCATTTCTTGACAAGGTGAAATAACTGTTATATCTTTACAGTGCGTTACTCTTATTATTCATCACATAAAAAATTGCTTTCAGCACTTTCCAATTGCAAAACTTTTCAAATTCGGAGCATTTAATAATTTCAAATTTGAACAACCTAATAATTTTAAACGAACAGTTCCAGTAACGAAAAATAATAAGATGATAATGAAGGCTTCCAATAATAAAGATGAATAGTGATAGCAAAAGCAAGGTGAGTTCGTTGATTCTTAAGCCTTACTTAGAGTTTTAGACTCGAAAATTGGAACATTTACATATCTCACTAGCAATACACATTAAATTAATAATTTGGTATTATTATTATTAGTACTACTACTAATAATAATAATAGCAATTAATGATACTAATAATAATAATTAATGATAAATAATAATAACTTAAGGATTTAATAGTTCAATGGTAGTTAATAATAATAAAATATTAGTAATAATAACGATAATAAATAATAGTGATAACAATAGTAATAACATTAACGAATTTGGAGTAAAAACATCTCATAAATTTTTTATTTTACTGCATATATACGCATGTTTTTCATTTTAAATTAAACTGGAAGTGCTTCAAAGTGTCAAAGAAAAATGGTATTGCAACTAATTTCAATGAAAAATGATTTCATGGGCTTGCTAGCGTTCTTATAAACATGCTTAGATCAATTATAAAAGCTTAGCAGATGGTAAACAGTGATAAGATGATGGGCAGTAATGAGAAACGCTTCGGAGCTAATGGATGCATGAAACAAACAGAATATTAAAAGGAAACTGAAATAGCAGACAAATAAAATTTTAAAATTACTAATACGATAGGTTATCTTAATAAATTCAAATCACAAATGTAAAAAATATATTTTTCATACGTAGCAGAAATAAGTGAAAACGGTGAATGATATGAAATTTGGTATGTTGAAGAGATGTCGTTAAGCAAGAAAATTTTAAGTTGTTTTTCCAACAAAGAAGGAACCTCATGCTCTTCGCAAACTATTCGAGGAATATTTTTGTTACTTGACAAATTAAGCATGAATTTAAGGTTGTTTATTCATTAATTAATGAAAAGCAAACCTGAAAAGAAGTCATAAAAATCATTAACCGTCCTTATCGGATATGAACACTTTTTCTGGATGAACGAAACATGAGAAGGAGAAAAGCAGTATAAAGTATTTAACTGTCGTCGGTGATAGCAAATTCTATAATTTTTTTCTCACCGATTCCTTGATGATTTGATAGCTATTTATGTTAGCAATAAGAAGCATTATAACAACAATAAACTAAATAGGTGGAATGTTTAATTTAAAACTTGTCACCTTTCACCCCATATCAGACGCACTACTGATTATTTCTTCCTTTTTTCGTGCCTTGCTCCTTCTCTACCCCAATTATACTTCTCTTTCTATTCATTATGAAATTAGAGAATAATTAAAGGATGATGATTGACAAATTTCTAGAATAAATGTGTGGACAATTACGCAACGCTAAATTTGTCGCCCACATTTCATTTTCTGCAATCATCAATGGAATGCAAAATATTGAACAAATCAATTGAGCATGAGAATGTCCCATAAAGGCCAATTGCATTAGCGTAATGATATATTTATTGCAAATAGCGCCATCACAATAGAATGTAAAATATGTTGTGGTTAACCACTTTATTGGCTGTAATTCTCCCATCGCATCATTTACGTTCGTACATGACAATAAGAAGGATTGGATAGATATGTCTTTCCTCATATCAACCGACGATATCTTTACGTGAATTCACTAATTATCCTTACTGTTAGATTTTGACGTGTGCTCGACTTGTACCTTATAAGCGAAGTAAAGCACTACATAGCATCTAATTCACTACTGCACTCTGTTTCATGGTGATAACAAAACTTGTAACTTAGATTGCCTGAAAAAACACTGAAAATGTCAAGTGTCAACATCGGTAATTAAGAAGTGAGTGATGGAAAATGGAGCATAACAGTGTGAAGATGAAATAAAAATGGTCATCTGATAAAAGGTTGCAATTATCAGGCTACAAATGATTATTATTCAGTTGCCTTCTACCATATCAACAATGGCTTTCACATTTGTTTATATCCATTTCTTTTCTCAAATATGTATGTTAATTTTTGAAATTTCTATTTAAATGATATTGTGTAGTAATGATATGCTTATATTGCGAAATGCTAGATGGATGAGAAATAAAGAAGAAATCTGTTTCAAAAAAAAAAAAAGAACATTCGAAAAGTGGCACTAAATAAAACTTGCAAAATCATAGAAATGCAAAATTTGAGAAGACTGAAGTAATTTGCGAAATCAGAAAGATTAATTTGAAAACTATCATATTTCCTGATTATAATAGCATTTTCGAAATGAGATTACTGATACAGAACTATTAATTAGCATGAAGCCCACTACATAAGCAACCAAAAATATGGCTGTGCAAATAATATTCCTAATGTGAAAATACATAACAGGTGTTAATACACTATTATACAGTGTCACGAATGCATCACAAATGCAGGAAGATGAAAGCGAAAACTTATATCAGTTCAGTTTTCAGTCTTAATAAAACAATTCTTAAAGAGGAAAAGTCTCATTCTTAACAAAATCACATTCTTAATATTCCAGATAAGTTGACCATCTGTTGACCAGAATTGAAACGAATGTCCCAAAATGTTTAAATGAGCATATTTAAAAGAAAGCATATGGTAAAGCACGAAACAGAATATCAGTGATGTGACATACTGAAATATTTATTCACTAATATAGGCAGGGAATATAGGGAGTAAACAGAATAAAGTTCAGATTTTGATCGACAGTAACATGTTTTTTACTATTAATATTGATAGCTGAAACCAACGCTATGGTATTTGTGATGACAAATTGGAATGTGAATGCATAACGGATACCGCCATTCCACCGACATCACGATAGCATTCAGGGACGCCAAACGTTATCAGTGATACACGTAACATACTTTGTCGAATGGAATTTACTTTTTGTTGTGTTTATGGCAATGCCTTCAACCACGTTCATTTTTCAAAGAGCAAGGTTTTGAAGTAATCAATGAAAGATACGAATTCCGCCTTTCTTTTATTGCCCTTGTTACTGTATCCAATTTTTATATACTTACAAATCATGTTTTGATTAATGCATGATGACGAGATTTTTGAAAAAAAAAAACACGTCCTTTGTGAAATGACATACAGTTCTAATTGACCACGTTTATCTTTACCTTAAAGACATTGATCTACACATTGCAAATTAACTTATTCAGCAAACTCGTCTTGCAAACTTACTATCGTGTTTATACCTATAAACACGATAGTAAATTTTATGATCATTATTTGAGTTCTTTATATATTCCACTCATATGTTTCGGTGGATTATCTACCCATATCTTTACAAATAGATAATTATTCTCTCTAACATACTATTACTTTGCCTTTTACTCTCTTTATCATCAATTATTAAATTTTACTTTTTAAATAGCTTTTTTCTGTAAAATCTCAAATAAGGTTACATTGACAAAAGCATCTGAATCTTCCCAAAAAGAATGCCACTGCACAGAAAATAAAAGCATTCAATAGCAAAATCCTTTTTTTCACACACTTTGTTTCTATACAATATTTCTCGTTTCATTTTCAAGCTTTTAATGAAAAATTATATCTAAGAGACATTTTATAGTTTTTAAAGCATGAATATACTAAAGTTTTAGAAAAAAGATTGTGTTAGAAAGTTAAATAAAATAATCCTAACGCATATTGATGCACAGAGAACGGACCTCTCGGTAAGTTATGTTTTTTTATTAGCCTCTCAGCTAATAAAGTTTCTGATTTTCCTTTATCACTAATATTTTCGAATGTAAATGTAATCCTCTTCAACTTTACTAACATCTGATCCTGAAAATTCTACTTCTCACATTCAATGATGTCATATTGGTTTCGTTAATTAACTCCAGTCATAATTGGCTTCGCTATTTAACTAATAAAAAAGATTTTTTTAAAGGAGAAAGATTTTGTGCAACTGCATGGAAAGGATAAAAAAGGAAGAATAAGATGAGTGAGAAGTTTTTTAAAAGAAGGAATGATTTTTGCGTAGCTTCAATTTTCCTCCCAGGCTAACATTACCATCTTTATGCTAATTATGTTGCAGTTACAAACTAGCGAATCACACACGTACACAACACAGTTACTGTTCCAATCATAATTTCAACCACCAGATTTTATATCTTTGAAATGACAACTTGAAAGGAAATATTTTCTGCCAAATCCGAACGAAATCATTCAAAAGCGAAAGCTTAATTTTAGAAGCTGCTGTCAACCACTTATACAAATAGATTAATCTGGTCTACAACACCGCACTTTTTTTGCACTAATTTATTTGGTGAGTGTTGCATAATATTCACAAATTTTGATACCTATTATATTAAATTAAAAGACGATCGAAACGAAATGTATGTTCAAATGAGTGCTGATGTTTTGACAACTCACTCATTTGATTTTTTTCAAACAATTAAGGATTCACCGTCTGCGATATTTTGAAATTTAGGTTTCCACTTAAACATCAGTTTGTTTATAAAATCCAATTTGAACAATTTTAAATGAAGCTTCTGGACCAATAACTGATTTCAAAATTAGAAGCTGAGTTCTTAAAGGCAGCTCCTGTGATCGATTTTCTTGAAGAAATTTGATTGTCTAGACAACAAATACTTGGCTTATGGAATAAAATGCGAATTAAGCTGTCGCAAAAGTTTAATTAAAAGTTTAATACATTTATTAAAAAATTTTAATACATAAGTTTAATATATACATCATCTGATCATACTGATATTTATATTCCACTTGTAATTAATCACTTTCAATTGAAAAAATATTCAACTATTAAACTTTGATAGACTGCTTCTACACTGATTTTTTCCGCAGATTTTGTACCAATTTCGTAAAATAAAGGAAAAAAGAAATTCGTTGAGAAACCGCCCTTTCATCACCCTTATCGTTTCCTCTTGGTAAATGAAAAACCTATGAGCTAGAATTTTCGGCGATGATTATTGAGAAAGCATTTTAAAATTAATGCTGAACTCTGCAGGTTTCAGAAAAGAATTACAAACTATATCTAAGGAGTGTTTGAAATACAGAATGTTTGATGAACATTAATTATATAAAGAGGTAGCGGCACAAATATTGAACATCTTCAAAACTAAAAATACGAATTAATTAAAGATGAGTTCAAAGTTTGCAGCTATTGAATGAAGATGAGTCCTAAGAAATAAATTTTGAAGAGTACAAAAAGAAACTATTACTATCTCATCTAAATGTCCGTATTTTGTTTAAGTTGAATACCACTAATAAATATATTATTATAGAAACTCTCTGTCTAGGAGTAAGTTGCAAATTACATAGTTTTTATTCAGTTCTGCTAATTAATGAAAATCATGCTCGACTAGCTTGCATTTGTTTTACTGCTGAAGATGAAGAAATTGTATGATTTCAAGTCTTCCCTTCAAAATCTTTCAGCACATTAAAGTTTCAGAAGATTTTCTTCTTAGAACTAAATTCTGTTTTTACATCCACAGAAAAGAAAAATTGATATCATTCAACATTATTATTAATTAGAAGGCAGATACTTTAAACGATGTTTTAGCAATCATTAAAGAAGAGACACTTGATGTATTTATTACAATAAACCACAGTGAAAGTATGAGTATTTCTAGAAATCGTGCTGGTTTGGTCTTTTGATCTTAACGAAATTTGAATAATTAATGCTGTGCGTCAAACTTAATATTTGCCCAGTCGACATGCTATTTATTCAGTTTCGCCGGTTTTTTTATAAAATCCATGAATTCAAAAAAAAAAAGCAAATTGTGATTAATATTCGAGTTTCGGTTCCGCTACTAAATTCTCCTTCTTCTAACGTAATGAGTTCTGTTTGAAAGCATACAGATTTTCTTTACCAATAACTTTTGCACATCAGTGGCTTGCTTTTCTTTTTTCTCTCTCGAAAATTTTAGAAAAAAGAGATGATATCAGTCTAGTGCAATTAAGAATTGACCTGATATCAAATGACAAGGATCAGTGTGTCAATTTTTCTACGCTATCCACTGATCTTTATGATCGAATTGATGCTCTGCTTTACTAAACGTATCTATGGCTCTTCTTATGGACATAATTAAAGCTATTTTTTTTTAGAAACAAGAATCAGTAAGCCTAGATTTACCTAACTTATGCCAAATTATTTCAAGGATTAGAAGTGGAATCCAAAACAATCATAGTAGTTGATCAGTGAAAGTCAGTATCGATTTAAGTGATAATGGAATAAAATATTTAATAATAATAATAAATGAATAAATATATTTACTTAAACATTGCCTAAACAAGAATGCATTTGAACTAACATCCTTTAAAGGAGTTCTTCATGGTATTGTTTAATCTTTATTTTATTTTTTTATTATCTCACTTGATTTTTAGAATGATGAAAAATCAAGTTGCAATTTTTTTTGTTTTTCGTATTAATTTATTGTCAGAAATCGCTGGAAGGCAACATTTAAAGATTTTGTCATAAATTAATAACTCGATTATAAAATGCGATTTCTATTAAATTCAAAATTTAAACTGAAATCGAAAATTCCGTCTTTGTTTTGGTAGAAACAAAATTTTGAGCTGCGAAAGGGAAGAAAAAACAATCAATAAAGCTATTTTTCATGGTAAATATTATTAATATTAAACAACAATAATAAAATTCATGGATTTTTAAATTTCAGTCTAACAGTGCTGTTATTCATTCTCATGACAAAAGTACATGCACATGCCCTATTTGATGATTATTGAATAACTGCTTATTTGCAGATTGGATTTGAAGATTTGGTTAAAAATAAATTACCCTCATTTTTATGATTTTTTTAAATGATTAGTCTTGCCATTTTCGAGATTAATCTTACCTCTCCTCATTAGTTCAGCAGAATCTTGTTATAATATAATTATAGGATAATTTAAACTTCCTATTCTAGGATTATTGTTTAACCAGTAAGTAAGCCTAGTAAAAATAGATTTTTTTTTAACTTGAAATTAAAGTAAAGGAAAGTATGTTTAAGTGAAATATAATAATTTAAGAACAGATCTTTTAGTCGGCTATATGCTACATGTTTACATGAATTATATTTATTTACTTTTTTAAAAATATTTACTTCAAACATTTCCCTCTTAATTCCACTGATCATCATTTAGAATTTTATGTTATGGAGGTGTGACAACGTATAAAGAAAAGAATGGAGTAGATTAGTGTTTAATATGTGGATTATTTGACATGGTAATTTTTATTACTAACTTAGAAAAGTAACTGTTCTATGCAAATGTCACAATTCAAATCATAATATGTAATAGCCGGATAATATTTTTCTTTAAATTCAAGATTAGTTTTTCCTAAAACTGCTCAAATTTTATGTTTATACAATCACAATCTCTCAGTGGAAGATTTTTGGTCTTTTGATTTTCTTTACAAAAGGTTGATCCAAAGTATTTTGAAAAACTTTTGCTCCCAATTTGCTTCCCACCATTAATTATAATCATTAAAAAAAGATTCCCTTCTCTATTGTGATGCAACAAATTAGCTAGACCAAAACAAAAAATTAAACGAGGAGATCTATCTTTCGTTTACTTACTAAGGCAAAAAATGAAGTAATAATGTTACAAATATTGTTACAATTCAAATTTAAACATTTTATTGCCTGAAATAAAACAAACCAAATAGATGGATCATTTTGTGTTTTCTGAGAAAGTTGCAATCAGTTCATGAGATAAGTAGTAATAGTACCTAGCAGATACAATTTATACTCCATTTAAATTTATTTATCTGGAACTTTTGATTAAAATATTTTCGTGAACTTGCTTAGCAACTTTTTATCCTACTTCATTTATATATGTATATTTACTTATTTTATACTTCACAAGATTCAAAATTACAAAATTACGGAAATTTCTAGAATAAATTATTGGTTTATTTTTTGAATAAATATTCTGCTAGTCCAAAGAAAGCCTCAATTCTCTAAATATTTCCTTTCTCTCTATTTTTTATACCTCATCATATTTAAGTGATTAAAAAATATTTTAATCAATTCACTTTTTCAATGCATGTTTTAACTGCACACATTTTCGTTCAATATTTTGCAGTTTATTTTGCTAGCACTTCTTCAACTGTTTTTAATCATTAACATTTATATATTTCTAATCATTTACGTTTAGAATCAAGAAATTTTTAACATTAGCAGCAATGAAGTAATTTATTGGTCTTTTTATCGATTCTCATATTCTATACTCCAACTGAAAATGTTATCGGCAGAACACGAAGTGCAGGAATTGAGGGTCCTCCTCACATACAATAAAAAAGTTGCAACTAATATTAGTTTTATTCTAATGATGTCCGAGATTATCTTCTCACGCATTTCTTCCAATCTCTTATTTCGAATTTCTGGTGCTAATTTCCGAATTTGCAATGGTTTTTGTTCACTTCAAAATTGAGGAGAGAAATATCGTTAAAAATCGGATATGTAGCTTAATATTTTTTCTAATAAATTTTAATCAGGTCAACTTTTGCAGACTTCCATAGTTTCAAACTTGCAAACTTCGATAAGACGGATTGAAGTCTTAGTTCAGCAAGTATTGATACCGACTTGTTAGCGTAAGCAAAACCAATTCACATGGACATTTCTATCAGTGAAATCACAAAAATCGATCCGAAACTCATTATAATTATGAATGGATTAAACTAAAATGAGAAATTTTCGAATCAGTTAAATCTTTCTGTTTCATACGAAAATGTAGTTGAAAGCTACTTACTTGTTTTATATTTTCATTCTGATTTTAGTAGTTGAAAGCTTACTTTTATATATTTTCATTCTGACAAATTCAAACCAAATATGAACCCAACTATATAGTTACTGCGAACCTACTAGTCTTAGCCTGGAGGTAACGGCAGGCAAGAATGAGCTTTTAGTTTTCAAGCAACTTGCTAGGTCCAACCTTAATAGTGAATTTAACTTACGTCTATATAGGTCTAATTTTTTCTTTTTTTACGGTCACTAAGGCTAAAGTGATTAAATGTCAGCCATGTCGTAACCAGGGTTTTTTTTTCGCCTGCCATATTTATAAGTGTGACTGTATTTTGTAATTTCTGAATTTTATAGCTTCCGAAACTGAAAATTGAATTTAATAATTTATCAAGCTTGATATTTGTGTGAAAAAATGTGTTAACCGACTCAAAAGTAGATTAAATAAATGTCATATCAAATTTCATTGTATTGATTGATGCTTTTACCAAGTTATTTTTATTGCTTCATAAATAATCTTCGCATGGCTCTTCGTACAAAGATCCAGAATGTTTTTCCTTAGCCAAAGTAAAATCATGGTCTGACGGATGCGACGTCTCATCGGGAAAAACAACCGAAGACGGTTTATGATGCTTGAACAATTCAACTGGCTGAAAAGCTTAAAGGCGAAACATAAAATTCTTTATTAATTAAAACGAACGGACCTTATCAAAACCAATTATTGTTCAAACTGTACTTGATTAGCTTATTGATTTAATCCACGATTTAACTTGGTCTAGAGTTTGGAGTGAAAGTTATATAAAATTCTGCTTTCGGAATTCATACAGGAAAACGAAAAGAGGATAAATATAAACAGCACTTAGTTCTATTCCACAAATAGATTGCGAGGAGAGATAAATAGAAAAGAGATAGTGATAAAAATCTGTATGGAACAAAGCAATTTTAATTTCAACTAAGAGTAATTTTAATTTCGGAATGGAGAATTGTCACCTCCCTAAGATCTTGTTCGCCCAAAAAAAGGTACAAAGACTATCTGAAACAGTCTCTTCGCCTAAGACACCTAAGACACACAACATACCACACATAGTCCGCTACCATTTTTGAGAACATATTAGGATGTATCTCATTAAAAACTGTGCCATAATCCAATGTGATCTTCCGTTTTGTCCCTTGCAATAGGACTTGCCTATGCTATATTGGTGTATCAACATAGACCCTTCACAAATCTTCGTTCGCGAAACTATGATGTCCTTCATTTAAGACTCAAATTTCACAAAAGCTGTGAATGATTAAGAAAAACCAGATAATATAAAATGTAACGAAAAATATTTTTAGCAGAAACGTTTCCAAAAAATCATCCTGAGATTTGATACAATTCTCGTCGAATTTATAGGAAATTCGTAATAAACTGAAACTAATTTTATTTCTCCAGAATCCAAAAGAACATTGCAAAATTGATCAGAAATTTAGAACAAGTTTCAACATATAATCGATCAATTACAAGATTCATCGGTTATAGCATGTGTGCACTATGTAGGAAAGTTTCAGCAAAATTTAAAGTTTGTGAATACTGAAATTGGAGCAGTGGTAGTGACTGGATATTTTGTTGTCGACGGGTTTCCATTTCTAAACGCTCCATACTAACAGACAGTTGATTGGCGGGCATCTCAAGGCTTCCATGATTTATCTGTTGTTGTTCGATTTTCACCAATTCTGTCCAATCTGATATTTGCGACTACAAACAAATTCGGATAATTATTTCTAAAACAGTGGATATTTGATGATCAACAAATTAATATCGATAAGGATTAATTATCAGCAGCGAAATGACATTCAGAAACTGCTTACTAATGAGTAATTGAAAACCAATAAGTTGTTACAATGTTTTTGTTCTCTGAATTTTATTAAGGAATTAATAAAACTATAGCAGCTTTCAAGTGGAAGCAAAAACAGTCCGAATTAATTTGAAACGAAAACTCTAAATGCTACGAATACTTAATATTCTAAATAGTCGAAAATAATCAACTCAGTAACATTGATTTAAAGAAACTGGAAGTAACCTGAATAAAATTGGTTCTTTTCCTTCCATGAAGGACCAGTGTGATCAATACCTTATCATTAAAAAAATTTTTTTAAAAAAATAAAAAAGCCTAGAAGTCTAAAAATGAAGCCAAGAATTAAATAAGACCCAGCTTAATATCCTAAACCGAGAATGCTAACTTCATCGTAAAAACTTCGATAAAAAAATTTTTCAATAATCGAAAAATACCACAACACCTGTAAAGGTTGAAGAAAATGCTTATAAATATTTAATATCAATTCCGGATTCATTCTACGAAGCGCCAATTCCTGAGCAAATATGAAAACAGACAAATAGTACTGCAATCCATCGCTGAGATATGAATAACGTATACTGACCATATCACCCCAGAAAAAACCAAGTTCTCTACGAAACACCTCATACTTAAGCTTGGAACGAAACAAGTCAATAATCCATGCCAGAAGTTGTGCCTCGAATTTTAATCTGAAATAAAGCAACAGTTTTAAAAGTTATAATTTTCATGATTTCGGATGTTTATTTGCTTGCTTGGTTTTCAAATAAAACCGGCGCATTAATTGTGTGAATCCCGTGCTGACCGCTCTTTTATGGTATCAAATAAAAGCGGAATGCCAAAAATGTTCAACTGCAGCTTTCTCCAATCAGCTACAATGAAATGATTTACGCTATCACATCGAAAAAATAAAGAAATAAATAAACAGGAATACCTATTCCTTCGTGTAACTCTGAAAAGTTGAAAAAAAAAGAAACTTACGATTTTTCATCATAAATGTTGATTTTGTGAAAATTTTTCCTCCTGAAAGGAAACAATGATAAGAATGATGCTTAAGAAATTAGAAATTTTCATTGAAAAATATACAAATGTAGTATTTTGAAATCTAATAAGAATTAAGAAACAAAAAAAAAACAAGAATGGTAATAGTTCTTATTTTCCTTAATTTACAATGTATGATAATTTCTTATAAAGTATGATGCATTATATTTCTGGTTTGTGATGAATAACTCACTGTATTTCGTCCTTTTGAATCATGCCGAACAACTTTCGGATGACAAGTACTTGTGCTACTGGTTCAAATTTCGACAAAAATAGTTTGAAAGTATCCATGCATATCACCCGCACTGTATATAAGGTGTATTCTTCACAGCATATTAAGAAATTAGCGAGAAATTCCTGCAATCAGAAATAGCTGAACAAATGGAATTCGAAAGGATATTATCCAACTACCTTTCCTCAACGACATATTTGTGTCTCCCACTTCCCAAAATTAAGAATCAGATGTATCCGTGTATTTTTCAAGATCTTCAAGGCCTATACATAATTCTAAATCACTTTCAACATTGAAACTCATCAAATATATATATATATATATATATATATAAGCTCGTAGGAAATTTCTTGAACCATACTAAGAAGAACGTCCACTGGTTTCGTCCTATTGACTCATTTTCGACAGAAACCAAACAATTTCGCAGCACTAGTACTACGTAACCAATGTTGAACATATTTGAAGTTGAAATATGCAGCGAATAGCAAAGTGGACCAAGCGCAAGTTTCAGATAATATTCAGGTGAAAATACTTGTGGAAGTGAATAAAACTTTGATCTGAAAATCGACCTATATCTAGACTTATCTAAGACACAAAATTTGTTATTCTGACAGATCTCATGTTTTTTATTTTCTTATTACAGTTCTCACTTATTACAGTAACAGAGAAAAAGGAAAGTGTACAATTGAAATTCGTTATCAGAAGCAATACAGAAATCTGAATCACTAAAGTTTCAGAGTTAAATTCGGCATGAAAGATAATAAAAACGATTATAAGATGACTGGTCATTTATTTTGAGTGTCACAATTTTTACAAAACACTTACTTCAAAGAATTAACTAAAATAAGTGTATTGAGTGGCAGTTGCCGGTTAGAAAATTTGTAAATTTCATCCAATTTCATAATAAATGCTTCCATATAATGACTTTGGATATGAGTGCATGACAACACTTTATCGAACAGCTCATCCAGTAGTTCGTAATTTTTGCTCATTGATAAACTATTAAACAGGAATTATCGAGCAAATGATATCATTAACAATTACTTTGCTAACAAAGAAATACCAAAATAGACTAAAATAAAACGGTACTAAAATGATAAACTATAAAACAGTCTGTTCAATAATAGTAACTGGTAAAGCTGTACGTGACCCAAAATCTTCGAGTTCTGCAAAAGTAGGCGGTTGAAAACTTACGTGAAAATTCGTAAAAACATAAAAACAGCCGCTAAAAAAAGATCAGAAGATGCATCTGGCAGTACAGGACTGTAGTTCTCGTTCAAATAATCGGCCTCTAGATTCGAAAAATATTCTCTATTTATTTGAATGTCTGGATGATTCAACATGACATTTTTCTCGAATCGTTCAATCCATGATGGAACATAAACTTCCCTGATGTCGCGAATGAAACTAAATAACTAAATGTGAAAAAAGACTTGAAACTAACTATGATTATCCTTGATAATTATTTAGTTTATTAGCAGTTAATCAGCACAAATTATTTAAGAAACTATGATTGCACATAGTTCAAACAATTAAATGGAAGAACATAATATGAATGGAGCAGTAACTTTCTTTAAACAAAGTGAAAACTGAACGATTAGGAGGGTAACCTAAATAACACTGGGATGAGAAGCATGCAAACATATGAAGTCGATAACCCATAAAAATCCTTTAAGAAAAAAAAAATTTACTCTTCGTTGAGGTCTTTCATCTCCGGTATTATTTCTTCCACAAAGCATCCAAGCATCATAAATGCCTTCCATGAAGTAACACCATTAGAGCATTCAAGTAAAACAGCCAGTCTAAAATTTTCAATAATATAGTTATTAATATATAAGCATTGAGAAATAACTTTTTTAAACTGATTACAGTGTATGCAAACGAGCTTAACTTAAATCTGAATGATATCCTATTTTTTATGCCATGTGTACGCATATGTTGAGTGGTCGGTGAACGCAAACAACTATTATGAGTTCGTCTAACAAAACTAATTTTAAATTTACTTATTCTTTGTAGTTCCATATGATTTCAGTAATATCAAGACATTTTCCAGGACTGGATCGGAAATACCGCTTTCAACGAAATCTCTGTCATATTCGTCGATGACTGCTTGAAACAATTCTCGATAAACATCCACAATAGCATGATCGGCTGCAGCAATTACGAGACCATGTACTTCATCGTATTTCTTACCTGCCAACCGATGGAGAATCTCTTCAAGAAATTCTTTACTTGTCCAACCATTTTTATCTTCTCTTGCCTCTCTATAAGAGAAATTTCAACTTCTCTCTATAAGAGAACTATAAGTATGAACAACTTTGTTAATTTATCATTTTAAAGGTTCAGTTCTACAATGATTTGTTAACCCAAGCAATTATCAGATATGACACCCTTTAAATTTTTGAAAGATGGAACACCAGAATAAGGACCAGAACATGAAGGCAAATATGGATAACTCGAAACGAAGGACTAAATCACTTGTTTTATTCTTTATAAATAATTTATGCAGCAATTTTGCTGCATACTTTATACTTTTCTGAAAAGCAGGCGATTTTATCCTATACAGCAGTAGGATAAAATTCATTTCGGATAACCAGCAAACAGAAAAGACTAAACGTATATTAGCACTAACCCCTCATCGTTAGATGATGCATAAACTGCTTGATCTTCCGGTATAATCAGATACATAAGTAAATTTTTCAGTCCCAGCACAGCCATCTTCAGCAATCTAGCTAGCTACAGTCAGTTCTTATGAATTCTAAGAAAGAGAATGATATACCATACAAGTAAGCCATGATCCACAAAGCATAAAAACTCGGAACAAAAAAAGGATTTGGCTGGTCAGGGAATGTACTGGAAACTTTATTTTGAGACGTATTTTTTCAAGACGAAAAGAATTACATATTTTGATATTACGCTTTTCAGTGATGTTTATATAATGATCTCTATACAAATGGAAACAAATAACAATGTAATCCAAGGGATTTGATTTTTAAATTCATACTTTTCAAATGTCACGAGGTATTTTATGTAATTAATTGGACGATGATAATGAAAATGCCATAATAGTCATGCATATATATGTTCATGATTTTCTTTATTAACATTTTATTATTTTTTAAAAACCATAAAAATTTATATAAATCTAGACCCAATAAAATTCTCTTAGCTCTCTTGCATGAAATATAGGATCAACTCTACAACGAGGCGACAATAAAGATAAGTATGGCTTAATTTTAACAAATCTGGGAAATTAAAGATAATAAAATTTTTGGTCAACATACAATTTAACGTATATAAGGAATTACGGTATCTCAAACACTTCGCCAAATAAATAGCAGCATTTTTAAAGTAGAAACTCTCCGCTGCAAGAAAGAGCTTTCAAATGATTATTTGGAAACTGAATTCAGGCTCTGCTGTGAATTCTGCTTCATGTTAAAAAGAAATTATAAAATATATACAAACTACCTTATTTTCCGCTTCTCATTAAAAACCATTGATGCGTTTGCATAAGTTATTCCCGGTGCCAAGCTTTCACAAATAGTTCCATCCACCTGATAGATCCAACCTCGTTCGTCTAAATTAGAGTTGTGTTTGAGCATACAACAATATCCAGTAGTCTATCTGCTTTGTTAATTTTTTTGCTAAAAAACCCTAAGGCACATTGCACTTGTATTTCCAGACACTTTCACAATATCCAGCTAACGCCTTCTAAATTCCACAGTAATTTCACATTATCTTCCTATAAAATACATGAACTTTTATTAAACCAACCATGACAAGATGCGCTAATAAAAAATGAAATTGGCTTTATGTTATGAGTAATTTACTCCTATATGATTTAATGAGTTTAGTTCAATTAATCGATATAATTCAACTATCAATTATCCACTGAAAATAATATGGAAGTAGTCGAATACAATAAATCCATGCAAGTGGGTGAACCAAGACTTGAAATATCCGGATAAAAAGATTAAACATAGAAGACAAAAGTAAAGCTTTCTTTGCAAATGAATGTTTGTAATGGAAAAGCACATGACTCCACCGAATGGATTTCGAAATTCTTTATAACTTTTCTTTAGAACAAATTAAAATTTATTCCTTCAGCTTCTTCCTAAATATAAACATTCATTATATACTGGAAAAATCGTGATCCAACCAATTATGGAAACTGTTTAATATACATTGGCAGTGAATCATAATGGAATTTATTATTCCAAAAATGAAAGTATATTGAAGTCGAGAATTTTCTTGTAAATATGGAAGAGATAACGATTTCCCAACTCCAGATCTTCGTGTAAGCAAAATGAAGAAACTTATCGAAAGAAAAACATAAAATCTTATGCCAACGACATGAAAAATTTAAAAAGAAAAAAATGCAAAGTATTCATAAAGAAAAAACATCACAGGATTTCACATTATACAGAAAAAATTGAAAAAAAAAATGAAATATGGAATGAAATTGAACAGAAAGCAGCATTTTGAAGCGTAGTTCGTATCAGTAAAACTTCTTTGTTTCAAATCTCAAATTTTCCTAACTTACGTTAAAATGAAATTTCGAAACCAAATTGACGAATTTGAATACAATATTTCACTATTACAAAAATTTCATAATTTTATTTCCATCAAATCTTAACGATAAAAAGAGCATGAAAATGCTGAGTAAAGCCCCATTTAGGAAAAAAAAAAAGCTCAAGGAAGCTCCTACTACTAAAACAACAGATTCTGATGAAAAAAAAAATCACATCAATTTCAAACAAAAATTATTAATTTTTCAAATTTATCCAACCATTCAGGTCGATGATGATTTCTAATTAAAACAAGTGATTTCAGAACTTCCATAACTTCTTACACATTAAAATACTGAATATTATTTACTCACTTATCGTACTATTAAAGCTCTGATCAGAATAAAACGGTGATAATCAAGTTCAAAGTGGAAAAAAAATGAAAGAGCAAAACAGGAAAAATTAGATTGGTCCAAAAGAAAATAAACACCGTTAAAGAAACGAGTACGAATCGCAATAACGTTGATTTGAGATTTGATAATGCGCGACTTCCTGCTTACATTCGATACTCAAATGTTAACAGTTAAGAAAACAAATTTTAACCAGTTAATTAACAAAACTCTCAGTCTTAGTTATATAAATAAAGGCAAGCTTGCGCATATCATCTCAAAATTTCCTCTCTTCTGACATAAATTATATATATAATTTATATATATATATATATAAACAGAATTTAACAAGATATGGAATCAAAACTTGATATTTATAAACAATTTCTTAGTTCTTAACTAGCATCATTTCATCGTTTATGAAGACGATTTTCTTTATCCATATAAAATTCTAGATTTGGTCTGTAAAAATCAGATGATAAAATTTCATGGATTTCATCTTGGAATAGTTATCGTAGGCTTTGCAGATTCAAATCGCATTAAGAAAAGCAAATAAAAAACTTTCCGAAGTCGCTAACAGTTTTTAAAGTACTCTTTTTTCAAGAACTTAAGATTGTAGAATTAATTCCAGGATCCAATTCTGCTTCCTTTAATTGCGTTACTTTCTTTGCTATCTGTGTTCGCCTATAATGATCTTCCGTTTCTTTAAAAATCAGCTGCTTCAATGTTTCTTTTGGTAAATCGTCATACTCGATTTCGTAAGTAAATGGTTCTTCACAGACAGGCTGTAAAATATTTCATATATGTGGAGTGAAACTAGTTAACTTGGTTAACTTTAACTTTTTAAAACCATATGTAAAGAATGTTCAGATTTCCAAACTTCCTCAGCAGTAAAGTTATATACTATTAAACTGGTAAATATTCCATTATGTTTCAGTGATGACTTACCATAAAATAAAACAAAGAGAGTTTGAAACCATGTGACAAAATAAATGAAAAAAAAAAACCCAAAAAGAGACCAAGAAATACAATACTTCATCATTAGGATCATAATACTGTTCCAGATATGGATGTGAAAGGGCATCTTCGATACTGATTCGTTTGTTTGGATTAAAAGTTAGCATCTTATCTAGTAAATCAAGTGCACGCGGATCTGCATTTGGATACATCCGTAACCATGGTTGTTTTATCTTGTGTGGCAATGAAAGCAAATATGATCGAGCCTGAATTAAACTGAAGTTAGAAACTTTCGTAAAAACAATAAATTTCCAAACAAATTTGCAGTCTTTTAGTCAAAGAATAAACAAAACAACATAGTATTATTATTGGTGCAAATTAAGAATAAAAGCAATAACACTGCCGTAAAGGATGATAATAACAAAATCAGAACCTTCTCGTTGATGATGCATTGTAAATCTTCCTGGCTTGGTGACCCAATAACGCCTAAGATTAAATTCAATTGATCCAGATAATGTTTACCGGGAAAAAGGGGTCGGTTACTTAACATCTCGGCTAAGATACAACCAATCGACCACACATCAATAGATTTCGTATAACCTTTTGAATTTAACATAATTTCAGGTGCACGATACCATCTGGAAGAAATAAAAGACCAAAATGCAACCGATTAAAAATATGCAGTTGCTAGTTTAAAATTATAAATAAAAGAAAAAATAATCAGCCTAAAACAAGTACAATATATTCCCTAATAAATTTAAAAAGCCATCGATAAAATATGTATATTCCTCTTCACAGCGCAGAACTGATAAAAATTTCAAACATTTTTCAGTGAAAAATATTTAACCTAGTTGCCACATATTCTGTCAATACTCCAGTATGGTCATGTCCAGGATCTGTTACTCGAGCAAGGCCAAAATCACAAATCTAAAGTACGATTTGAAAATTTTACAACTTCACTAATCCATCCATTTTCCAAATTGGTTTCAGATTTTAAATAAAAACTCTAATATTTATTCTACAGTTATAATATAGCAGTAATTATAAAAATCAACAAAATTGAAAATCGTTTTAACAAGAAATTGAAAATAATCGTCTTATCCAATTGCAAAATCTAACTTTGAGATCGCAAGTAGTGTTGAGAAGTAAATTAGATGGCTTGAGATCACGATGAATAACATTCGCAGAATGAATATATTTCAATCCACGCAATATCTGGTATAAAAAGTAACAAATATGGTCATTGGAAAGTCGTTGCGTTTTCAGCAACTTGTACAAATCTGTTTCCATCAAACATTGCACTATGTAACTGAAACATTCTCATTCTTGATCTAATCAGAGTTTCTACTATATTATAAAACCGAAAAAAAAAAGTCAACAACAAGAAGACCAAGACTATAAAACACAACCATACGAAACTGCAAATCCTGAGAGAATAAATTATAAAACTAAATTTCCCTTCATCCACCAATGGAATCGACATCAAATTTATCGCAAATCAATAAAACCACCTCATTAAGAAAACGACTTACATATCTTTCATTTGCTCCACGCTTGGTGCTCTGATGATTTCTTGAATGTTGATGATCTGCAACAGAAATGACATAAAGAAGTAAAAAGATGAGATTTTTGGCTTCAATTAATATATTTTTGATATGTAATAATCTTCAGTTGGATGTTAAGAATGAAACCAATCCATTATAGTATCAGGCTATGCATATGCTAAGAAAATTCTTGAAGGTATATTACGCGAGTCATAAGTCATGCAAAAATTTTCAACTCAATTTGCAGAAATATTTATTTACTTGATTACACAAATGTTAAACACGAAGACTTGGTCCAAAAGTAGATCTATAACCCCTGCATTTCATCAACATCTGTTAATTTTCTCAGGTAGCTTACATTTTCATGCTTAAACTTAGTTAAAATCTTGATTTCTCGAAGCGTCCTCTGACAGAATGTCTGATGCTCGAATGGTGAGATTTTTTTGATTGCAACACGCTCATGCGTCTCTGTGTCCAGTGCTGATCTAAACAGCCTTTAATAGATTCAAATTTTCTCAAAACATTTTCTTTAAATGTGAATATTCGTGCAAGCATTTTCTTGTATCAATACGATTCAAGTCTTTGACAATTCAAATGGTTACGTCAATTTAAGAAGAAAACCACTCCAAAGTTGCATCTAAACACAAGTCACGGCCATAAGTTCTTAGAATGATAAAACTCATAAGCCCATCACCCCTTATCAGTAAAAACATACACCACCATTCCGTATGCTCCTTCACCGATATAACAAAGATTCACATAACGTGGCCCAACTTCGAAAACTTGCCCATGCACTTCCTCGACACCATTTTTGGTTTGCACTTCTATCGTTGTTGTCATCTGTGAAAGAAAAAAGATTAACTGCAGAGTAGAACTTTAAAAATTTCTTCTTATAATAATATTTTATTTGCTGTTTTCAGCACTCTAAAAAAGGATTTTAGTTAGTGTCATCTTGTATCCATACTGAACTATTAATATTATCAGGTCCATCTCATCTTTTGATGATCAATTCCTTTGCGCCATCCAACATTTGCTACCGAGATAAACATAATCATATTACGTTCACTTTTTAACAACTCTCAGCACTTAATGTGACTGCCACTGAAACAATTGAACACTCCAAAACAACGAACAAACATATGAAATATGTGCATAAAGAATAAGTATGATTTTTCGTTGTAAAAATTTGTTACAAAAGAATAAT